TTTCCATTTCCAACATTGATTATTTGTTTTATACATTTTTGCTAATTTCACTGGCGTTATACACCATCTATACATCATTTTCATTACATTCTCTTTAAGTAAACTGCATGCTGTAAAGTTTATCCCAGCCTTCCATAATTTCCCCCAATCTTCTAACTGAATATTACGACCAATATATTTTGCCCAATGTATCATACTATTTGAAAGTCTTTCATTGTTTTTTTCTTTACCTTGTTTATTGTTTTATCTTTTTTGTAAACCACTTTGAGTTTTTAGTTTTTTGTTTATAATCAAGTGGTGTATAAACTTTATGGAAGAAAACCCCCATAAATTTCTGAAACATCTCTTTGCAGGGCCACAATTGCTGCCAATCCAAAGGACCAGTCATTCCCGCTCTGAAACAAAGTTCCTGCTCTACTCAAATACCATTGAAGAAGGCTGCCTGATCGAATTTAACCAGTTCGATACTCTTGAAAAATGCCGTTTCAATGCCTCTCTTCCTTTGGTGATGATAGTCCACGGATGGTCGGTAATGAACTTCACAGCACTTTTTCTTTCTTATCCAGGGATGTTGCTCAGCTGAACTTTGATATCTAGATAAATCTGGCCTCATACAGGGTCCCCCCACTTCATTTTTTTCTCAAAGGTTGTTCATTGGCCTGATCTGTGGAGGAGGTGGTAGAGTCCTGGCACAATGTTATGGGCTATACCATCTAGAGGCTGCAGGTGGGCATTGCCATTTTTCAAACTCCCTACCAGAAAAGACAAGCATATCAGGGAGAAAGGTTCCTTCCTCAGTCTGCTGTGCTAATTTTCTACATGGAGAGAGGTTGTTGGGGGGTGGGAGGGAGGGGCGTAACAAAGGGGCATTCAAACCTACACTGCAGTGGCACAGCCCCTTCTCCCATTTCAGGATTTTACCACATTGCTTTGCAAGGCTGGAATGTGTTCCCCACAGTAGTGCAGCACTGGAGTGCAAGGCATCTCTCCCAGCCAGCCTTCAGCCAACCTGCCCAAGATGGATCTCTCCCTTTGTTCTCTCCCTTCTGCTTCCCAGCGCACCTTGCTGAAGACTGTCATTTCCCGTCACTTCACACCCAGTTAACCTAGTAACCTTCTTTCTGCCCAGGCCCATCAGACCTTTTGTCATGTTAACACCTCTATCCCAGGTGAGGCCCTGGCTTGGAAATGTAGCTTAGCTTGTATTTTTCCACCGGCCTGCAGTCTTCCTTTCAATACTCCAAATAATCGAAATCCTACCATTTATTAATTTCTAGGGTTTGGGGGGGTCCCAGGCCGCCCCCTCAAAACTATAACAATATATTATATTCACTCACCCCAAAAGGATGAGGAGAATCTATTTAGTCATGGTCTTAACCATACACCTTTTAAAAACAACACTAAGATGCTATTACTTTCAGTTGGCCTCACATGCAGACCTATACTCCTTTCCACTGAAATAAGGGTGTGTGAGAGTAAATATAAGCATGTCACCATACAGATGTCAAAAATATAAAAATTCTGTCCTGGGAATTGTTCATGCTACAGCAGATGGGCAAAACTGGAGCCCCAAATCAAGGATGTGACAGGCTGTCTTTGGCCATTGGGAAGCAGTCACCCAAGGCACACCGTTGGGGTTTGCAAGGAGTTGGTGGCCTGGCTGTCAGCTGGCTGTGAGCAATTCTCCAGGCCTGCCCTTGCTTGGGCTTATCAAGGAGGGAGTCTCTTTCCCAAGTCCTCCCTCCAAGCTACTAATCAATCACATGCAGGCACCAAACGAGTTATCGGGCTTTATTGGTTTCTTCTCTGGCACCAGCTACAGAACATCAACCAGCAAGTCTAATACATGGCGTGTTCTCTCTCTCTCCTCCAGCAGGTTAACTCAGATATTTATAGGGGCTGGGGAATTCTGGCAACCAGCCAGCCCCATCACATGCTCCCACTTTGGGGACTAATTGTTACCACCTGCCTGAGGGGCTCCACCCAGTGGTACTTGCTCACAGGCTCACTACTTCATGACAGGGGTTCATGAATTTTACAGACTTGGTTTTCTCCCATGACGGCAGGTGGATGGAAGGCTAGAGGGCTGGATTTGGAAGCTGGCCGAAGCCCTGAAATCCCAGCTGACACAAACAAATGTGATCATCACTGACTGGCTGGCCCTTGCGCATGCGCACTACCCCATTGCAGTGCAGAACACCCGAGATGTTGGCCAAGAAATCGCTCGATTCCTGGAATGGCTGGAGGTAAGCATACTCAGAGAGAGGAGACAGTATGAAGTGTGTGTTTAATGCCTCTTCCCTACCACCCCAGCTCCTCCAACTTAAAATTTGTAAATGTGTCTTATGCTGGCCACTTATAGCTATGGGCTGGTGTAGAGGTACCACTTTCCCAGCACCAACCCTGCAGAGCAGATCACTGGCAACAGATCCTCTGCCTTGCTGCTACTGCCTTTGTTGGTCTGGTCTACGCAGGAGGTGGTAAAGTCCTGATGTGATGGTATAGACCAGGCTTCCTCAACCTCAGCCCTCCAGTTGTTTTGAGACTACAATTCCCATCATCCCTGACCACTGGTCCTGCTAGCTATGGCTCTCTTCTCAGGGCTCATCCACACTCCTGCTTGTCCCACCAACTTCCCCTGGGAAAACCCCCTATTTACCACAGAACTGGAGCAACCAGATTTTCTATGGATTCACATTTGCTCCGATTCCATGGTAAAAAGTGGGTTTCCCTAGCGAAAGCAGTGGGGCAAATGGAAAATTGTTTGGATCCAGGTTTCCTAAGCACAGGACAAGCAGAAGTGTGGATGAGGCCTCAAAGGTTGCACTAGGGTTTTCCTATTAATCACCAGCTGCAACCATACGGTCTTCTGAAGATACTGCAAAGAGAGCATTAGCCTAGAAGGGGGAGTGATCCTCTCCATTGTGGTGGCAGAATTTAAACAAGGAAGTAAAGTGTATTCAGTGTTGATTAGGGAGAGTGGAGTGCCCCGGGCCAGTTTTGACCCCACAGGCTTGTATTCATATCAGCTCTCTATAGCCTGTCATTCTGTCAAGTCAGGTGCAGTGGAGGCATCTTACATTTCGGACGAGGATGCGGCACTTGCAATGTGCCAGTGTCTCAGGGGAAGGTAGAGCATTGCTTGAAGCAAAGGGTGAAATGAACAGGCATGACAATTTTCACGTCTGCAAAGCAATCCCTTTTATTTACCATTTATTTGTTTTTCATTCGTTTCATAAAATTTATACACCACTTGATTGTAAACAAAACAAACCCAACTCAAAGCAGTTTACAAAAAGAATAAACTAATAAAATAATAAGTGACAACAGTTAAAAACAACTATTTAAAACATTTAACAAAATAATTAAAGTCAACCATAAACTAAAAACAGATTTAAAAACATATCAACATTCTGCATATCTGGGTCTAAAGAAATACATTTTTAAACACAGTTTTTCTGTTACACTAATAAGGAACAGAGTTCCTGCATTATTCGAAAAGTAAAACAAGCAACTCCCTGTGATTTCTTTCCTACAGCGTGGGATTAAGCAGGCAGCAGGTGATGCGCTGCTAACTTGTGGAATTAACTGACACATGATGTGGTGATGGTGATGACCACTAGCTTATAGAGCTTTTAAGAAGGACAAGTTATATTCCTGGTCCACCAGGAGCTATAAGGCATGAGAGCTAAATCAAGACTCTATTTACAGAGACTGTCTGCCTCTGAATATCAGCTGTTTGAGAGTAAGAGCTGGAGAGTGTGTGTGTGTGTGTGTGTGTGTGTGTGTGTGTGTGTGTGTGCCTGACTTCAAACTCTATTTGTGGGTTTCCCAGGTGGCTCTGGCCACAGTGGGATGTGAGATGCTAGACTACGTGGCTCAGCAGACTGATCAAGCAGGGCTTTTCTTGAGTGCAGCCTCTCTCTGAATCTCAGAGTTTAAATTACGGTAATTCTGAATGTGGTCCCAAAACCGTACGAACAGCTTCCTAGACCAGAGTGGGTGCATGATAAGGTAAATTGGGGGAGTTGGGGCAACATTCCGCCTGCAAGGGAGCCAGATGGATTCGGGCCACGGGGTGCAATCCAGTTTGACATGCTGACTAGAGCAGACTTGCCCAACTTGGAGCTCTCCACCTGGCGTTGAAGTCCAGCAAGTCCCATCAGCCACAGGCAGCAGGACCAATGGGTAAATCAGCAACATCTGGAGGACAGCAGGTTGGGAAGGCTGAATGAGAGTGTCACATGCAGACTGGGGAGACCCAGGTTCAAATCATATTGCAAGTTGCATATTATAAGCATATTATATTGCGAAAAAGTAAATGCAACTATCTTGGTCAGTAGAGCAGGAGACTCTTAAACTCAGGGCCGTGGGTTTGAGCACAGGTCAAAAGATTACTGCAGTGGACAAGATGGCCCTTGTGGTCCCTTCCAATTCTATGATTCTAAGTGCAATTAACCATCGTCATCATCCCCACTCAGCCATGGAGCACCCTGTGTGACCCTGAGCCAGTCACTCACACCTGCCTTCTAGCGTCATTGTGAGGATCAAATAGCCTTGGAGGAACAGCTGAGATTCTAGAATCCAATTGGGAGGTTCTCCTGGGCAAACCCCATTGAAATGAATGGGAGCAATGCAAGAGCACAACTGTACTGTTCCAATGGGGCTTGCACAAGAGAACTTCCCACCAAGTTGTGCCTCATGCTCATTAGTGGGAGGGACTGAGGTCAGTTGGATTCCCATCTCGGGCACCCAAATGTCTTGCGCCAGCCCCAGGCTGAGCCTGCAACAACAATGCATGACCCACACTTTGCCTGCACTTACATGGCTGCCGGGTATCTTCCAGGAATCTGTCCAGTTCTCCAGAGGCAATGCTCACCTGATTGGGTACAGCCTTGGCGCTCACGTCTCTGGCTTTGCCGGCAGCTACATTAGGGGTGCAAGGAAGATTGGCAGAATTACAGGTAAGAAGATAAATCCCGCAAAGCATCCCTTGGGGGGCCATTGTAGCTCAGCAGTAGAACAGCTGCTTTGTGTGCAGAAGGCCCTGGGTACCATCCCTGGCAGCATCTCCAGGCAGGGCTGTGAGAGAACCCTGCCCAGAATCCTGGAGGGCTGCTGCCAGTCCGTGTAGACACAGCTGAGCTAGATAGACCAGTGGTCTGACTCCATATAAGGCAGCTTCCTGTCTTAAATCCCTCAGTCAAAACCGAGGCGGATAACTTTTTCCAGCCTGCATTCTCTTCTGGGGTGAGGGGACATCCCCATACCCCATTCAGTAGAAAAAGTGAGTAATGAATGTATAGTTTACTTTAATACAGTAGGATAATTTCTACACACACCCCCACACACCTGCCGGTATATGCAAAATCAGTTATCAGCTAATAATATTAATTACCGTATTTTTCGCTCTATAGGATGCACCCGACCATAGGACGCACCTTGTTTTAGAGGGGGAGAACAGGGGGAAAAAATCTCCCCCTCTCTGCTCAGCGCCCCTTCAGCAAAGCGGCAGGAGAAATGGAGCCCCTTCCATTTCTCCTCCCGCTTCACTGAAGGGGCGCTGTGCAGAGAGGGAAAACTGTGCAGTGCCTCTCCAGCAAAGCGAAGCCTGGAGAGCAAGAGGGATCGGTGTGCACCGACCCCTCTCGCTCTCCAGGCTTCAGTGAAGGCAACCCAAAGCCTCCAGAGCACAGCGGGAGCTCCTGCTGCGCTCTGGAAGCTTCAGGCTCCTATCCCCAAGCCTTCGGAGCACAGCAGAGTTCCCACTGCGCTCCAGAGGCTTCAGGCTTCAGGCGGCTATCCCTGAAGCCTGGAGAGCGAGAGGGGTCGGTGCATACCGACCCCTCTCACTCTCCAGGCTTCAGCGAAAGCAACGCAAAGCCTCCGGAGCGCGGAGGGAGCACTCCCTCTACACTTCAGAGGCTTCGCGTTGCTATCACTGAAGCCAAGGAGCCTGCATTCGCTCCATAGGATCCACACACATTTCCCCTTAATTTTTGGAGGGGGAAAAGTGCGTCCTATAGAGCAAAAAATACGGTAGGTTTTCTGCCATACGCTTCCTATTTTAAGGGATAGTTTACATGTTTGGGAACAAAAATCATTTTGCTTCATTCAACAGTGCCTGTGAATCAGAATCAGAATAATCTTTCTTTGCGTCAGCCACCAGCCATAGCAATAAAATAAGATACAATGTACAGAAGATAAAGGTAAAAACTTAACTACTGTATATAAAATAAATTTTGGGGGTTTAGATCAATAATCAAATGACAGATCTTATTCTAGTTGCCCCCCTAAAAACTTTTCAGTTTTTGCTGTCACCAGTTAATTCTGAACTGCCAAAAGAAAGGACACTGCGGCAATGGACAATAGCAGAGGGGTGATAACCTCACTCTTCAGTGCCTGTGGTGTTGGTCCTGGGCTGAGCAGGATAATCTTTCTAGAAAGCATCTCTGTAGCATTTGCTCATATTTGGCAGCTACAAGAAAACCTCAGTGCTTAGAACTAATTGCACCCAGAACAATGGTTGCCTTGCCTTCTGATGTGCGTTTTGCTGAAGTTGCTCCTATTGTGTGTTGTCACATTAATGAGAGCTCTCATGACGCTCATTGTAGGGTCTGACATAATTCCCGTAGATTTCATGGGACTGAGAAGAAGGGGCCTTCAAGTGAGTAATCCACGTGCAAACAGTGCTTGCATCAAAGGTGAAAAAGTGCTGGGTTCTATCTTGGGCCTGGTGTGTAAAAAGGGTCCAAGCCCAACAGGCTTCCAGTCATGGACTGTGAAGCAGGCCCCACCATTTCTGCAATTAAATCATCATATTCCAAATGCTTCCAGGAAGGCTAGAACAGTGCAGCATTCCTGCTTAGGAGGAATTAGTGCAAAGGAGACCTCTTGCAAAAGGAATGCTGCCTTGAATAGCTTCATTCATAGCAACCTATCTCCACATCTTGCATGGCTACCTACCCCCTTCTTTGAACCCAGTTACACAATAGGCTGCTGTGTGTTTTCTGTGTCAAAGAGACGCCTTCCAAAAACATGAGGAGGAGCAACAATGAAAGGTTGAGGGGATGGAAAAGACAGAGCAAAAGTAGGGGACGGTCTGGTTACCCCACTGTCCCTGCTCCACCTGCTTGATTTTGGTAAGCCAAGAGCCAGCGCTGCTCCCAGGCCAGAAGTGGTGGTGCTTTGTTCTATAGGTGAGGCAGAAGCAAAACTCGAGGAGGGTCTTCAGCAGAGGAACTTTTGCTCAGCTCCCATGAACATCATTTCCAGGCTGAGGCTTGGAAAGGTGGAGCCATTTGAGATTTTCCACCTCGGAGAAATCAAGGGCTAACATTGCTCTCCTCCCCACACTTTTACTGAAACTTTGCAGAACCCCACACCACCTTTGCCCTGTTCCCTAAGTGTTATCATCATCATCATCATCATCATTATTATTATTAATTGCCTGCCTTTCACCCCAAGATCCCAGGGCGTGCTACAACATTAAAGCACAATGTTCAAAACAGTTTATAACAACTTGCAATTACAAAAATGTGGTGTGATCTCTGCAGGCAAAGCACACGCTCTATCACTGAGCTATGACCCACCACCTCCATTCCCCCTACCCTCCCCCTCTTGGAGGCATTGAACTTTACATCATGTAAAGGCACAGTCTGGAGATGGTGCCCTCATCACAAGCCCTGGTTTGCATTTCCTACAGGGCTTGACCCGGCTGGCCCTCTCTTTGAAGGCATGTCCCCAACAGACCGCTTATCCCCAGATGATGCAGACTTTGTTGATGCCATCCACACCTTTACCCAGCAGCAAATGGGCCTCAGCGTTGGCATCAAGCAGCCTGTTGCTCACTTTGACTTCTACCCCAATGGAGGGACTTTTCAGCCTGGATGCCACATCATGCATGTCTATAATCACATCGTGCAGTATGGAATTACAGGTAAGGAACATAACAAATGTAAGAAGCGCCCGGCTGGATCACGTTAATGGCACATCTCCCTCAGCATCCTGTTCTCACAGAGGCCAACCAGGAAGAGAGAAGGAGGTGTGGTAATGTTGGGGCTCTGCAGGGTGAGGCCCACAAGTGTGCCTGCCATCCCACACTTTCAGCACTCCTCCTCCCCACCCCATAATGTACTGTTGCATCCCATACACACCTTTAGGCAAAATCTTCTCCCACAGGATCTGTGCATGTGATTATTTCCACAGCTTTGAAGGAAATGATTGTTATAGTCTGGTGCAGTAAAACCAACAATGAGTCTTGTGGCCCCTTAAAGGGAACCTGACAGAGGGCCTTCTCGGTAGTGGCGCCCGCCCTGTGGAACGCCCTCCCTTCAGATGTGAAGGAAATAAGCAGCTATCTTCTTTTTAAAAGACATCTGAAGGCAGCCCTGTTCAGGGAAGTTTCTAATATTTAATGCTGTACTGTTTTTAACACTTGATTGGGAGCCGCGCAGAGTGGCTGGGGAAACTCAGCCAGATGGGTGGGGTATCAATAATATATTATTATT